AAAATAATTTCTGTACAATCTATAGATATATTACAAGGATCCAAGAAACCCCGATTTAAATCGACTCTACATTGCGGCGTCAACGGCCAATGAAACGCAACGATTGTTTTCGCAAGTCGGAACATTCGAATCGTTTCCCCGCAGTCGTCGGGGGAGTTTCGGCGGTCAAACGGGCATTTCTCGGAAAGCTGGAGGCGTATTATGACAGCGTTCAACGCGTACGAGTTAAAAAGAGTCCGCGAAACCGGGGTTTTTCACCAGCCCGAATACCTGGAACCGCTGTTTAGTCTGTTATGGCTCTGCTCTCTTCAAAGGGGTATATGTCTCAATTCGAAAGAGTTAATAATAAACGCGTCTGCGCGGCGAATCCGCCGGAAGACTCTCGCTTACGTTCGTACACGTTTTGGAAAAATTATTTCGACGAGTTCGGTGCCGTTTCGTTGCGCAACGCGTTACCTAACCTCTTGGCGTACGATTTAATTTCGTGTAATTTTTTAAACGCATACTATTTAATTTTGTTTAGGCTCGTGAGATAGATTTGTTCTGCAAATACCTCGTGAATGTAAAAATGTGTCGATGACGAGAGCCTCATGATTGTTGTGAAACTTGACAAGAACTCGCGACGAGTCAACTCACGAACTAACCCCATAAACGGAGGATTTACTAGCGCCACCTGTGGAGAAACCTCGAAATGGAAATACTACGTACGGTCAGTCTCGCGGGAAAAAGAACATTTTAATCAATTTATCGCAAGAATACCGCTTGTTGAAGTGGTTTAATTCTTGTTTTGTGTGGAAAGGGGTGCACGATATTTTTGATCCGATTCCAAATTGCAACTCAGTAGCACGTCGCTAGAAATTCTCGTACGCGTCCTCCGATTGTTCCTGAATCCCGTCTAGTCGCTTCAATTACGCGCGTAGTGTCGTCGGCCAGCAACGAGCCACGATTTCGCGGCTCATTAAATCGCAGCCGACAGTATAATCATTGTCGTTCTCTATTACTCGCCTCGGACACGTGCGCCGATCAATCCCGCGAAAATAGCCAACAGTGTCCAGCTGTTTCCATAGACCAACCGAAAATCTAGTGATTTTCCATTCTAAATTAACGTTTCTTTTTATCGTCAAACGTTCAATTATTTTCTGAAACATTCACACGCCATTGATGCTAAATTTTACCAATTAATAAATAGAACACAAAGCCTAGAATATAATGTTGTTATTCTTAATTTTCAACTTAAATTGTGCCCCATCGTTAAGCAACCAAATAAACAACATAGATGGACGCCTCCTAGTTCTATTTTCCGTCGCCAGAGGGCCACGATTCCTTCCGTTTCGCGTTGTTCGTTCCACCTCGCGAAATCGTGGGCGATTTTTCAACATCCGTCAAAACAATCGCGGTCCAACGGTGACTTTTACGCCGTATTTATGAAGAATGAACGTCCAGAGTCGAATTTATCGAGAATACGAACACCGGCGTGGAAATACTCCTGTCACGTAACTTTGGTCGAGTGCATTTCGAAGGGGCGTCGTTTGTCGGATCAAGTATGGCCGAATTTAGATGGGCTCGCGACGGAATTCGCTCGACGAGCGAGAAACAATGTTCTAAATTTACGCGCGGATCTCGCGATCGACCGTTGCCGCGCAACCTTCGATTTTATCGCGCGGCCATTTTCGTCCCAGGAACGAGTCGAGGTTAGGAATGTTCAATCATTATCGTTTTGATGGACTGTTTGACGACCGGGATGGCGCCACCTGTCTGTACAGACATAATTCCGAATAATTTATTGTTTCAAACCATACGCAGCAATGCTAATTGTATTCCAACTTCGTTCGTTGCATTCTTCTGCGTTTCTACCACAATTTTTTCGTAAATATATTTTAACCAAATTCCCTACTTGTGTCGTAGAATTTAATAATTGTTTAAAAACTCTCCATTACGACTTTTGTCTGGTATTTAATTTCAGATATCGTGCAATATTAGCCCATAACTTTAATTATTGCCAGTATTCCGGTTGTACGAACTAGCAATTAGCGAGCAGCGATCAGATGGGCGAATATAGATTAAATCATGCTGAAATTCATGGCGAAAGATATCACGGTTTCCGTAACACTCGAGCGGAACGTCAAGTTAATTTAATATTAATATCGTGCCCGATGGTACGCACGCCAGGAATTGTTAATTAATATCTCCCGCTGCCTTTAAGGTACCGCAAAAATATTTATCGGTAGAAATATCGTCGCGAAGCGGCGCGCGGACCTAATCAACACGATCGCGAGTAATTAAAAGCGAAAGCAACCTGTTTCCCGTGGTCTTAATCACGGACCCTTTACCGTTGACTCGGTCGAAAATAAACAATAATCGCCGGGGTGTTGATTTTTAATGGAAATTGACAAATCGATAATTAATAGTGACTTAATTGCATATTAAGCGGCGTTATCTGCCCCGTCGAGCAATCGAGACCATTTAAATCCACTTTTTATTCCATTTACTTTTTAACTGTCAAGACAATTTACGCGACGAAGATTTATAGAACCGCGATTGATTATTCGTGTAAATTGTACTTTCGTTAGAGTGCGTTTCCTCCAACAATTATTCGGTACGATAATTATTTTTCACTTTGCTATCACTAATTTATCAACGTAAATTTTAACCGATCACAAAGTAATTGATATCGTTTATTCTGATTTTTTTCTTATAAGCAACATATACATTCTGTGTGTTTGTACTCTCCTTATAACTTCTACTATTTTTGTCCGATCTGGATGAAATTTTGTTTACATGTTCTTTGTGTTCCAACGAAAATTATAGGCTATATAATTTGCGAAAATATTAGCAATAATTAACGTACTCGAATAGAGTATTCCAAGAGTGTATATGAATTTTTAAAAATCGTATATCACTCGTTTAAAGATGAATGAAGAAGTTTGAGGAGACAATGATATAGTGTTTTTATTTTTATAGGGAATTTTGTCGAAATCGTAATAGCGAATAAGTTTCATCGACACGGGGGGGGGGCTCTCGGTTCGCGTATTGCAAATGTAATGAGTAATCAGAGCCCAGATGGACACTGCATAGGTTCAGGGGAATTCGTTTCGCAGCGTGTTCCTTGAAGCGATCGCAGGATGCAATTAACAGCGGATGTTGAGCCACTTGAACCGCGAATGGAAAAAGAACCGTGCTGGAAATACAACCGCGAAGTGGCCACTTTGCGTCCCCTCTTCGATAATCGTTTAACATCGAGCCTGCCATTAAACTTTAGAGAAACAGTCACGACCCGTGAGTGAATCTTTCCTGCGGGGAAACAGTACGATTGTACCAACCGTCTGGACTTCTAGGGAATTTTGACCGCGAAAAGAAAAATTCCTAGACGAGAAACACGAACGAAATTTGTGAACATACGTATTGTCGTATCGAAAAAAATTATAGTTTTCCAAATAATTAATATGGGATAATTATAATGATCGTTACGAGTTTCGAACGAACACGAATTTAACTATTATCAGCCACGCAGAGAAATTCCATTGTTTATAACATTAAACATAGAATCGACTTTGGGTGTGGCGTACCGCGAATACGTTTCTGTGCAATAGTACGAGAACGTCGAGTTCCTTGGAAACTTCCGCCATTGCTTCGCCAAACAATCGATCGTTACAATTTACCTTGGACTTTAAATACAATTACAACACTGGCGTTCTGTTTCCAGTTGACTGCTTTCTATTTCTAAACCTAACCCCACGTGCATCCAAAACTTTTCCATTACCAAGTTCAAGCTGAATACAACTGTACAAAAACACTTGTATAATAAAAAAACCTGTATAATAAACTGTATTGTTTATATAATAAATACAATACTAAATGTGTGGATACTATTAGTGGAATAAATAGTGGTAGTAATTTTAAATTCAAACTGCACATAAACACATGCTTTTGATTAATATGTGAATATTTGGATCGCAAAAATTTTTCAATTGGAAACTTGTAAAATAAACTGAAAATCATGGGAAAAATTTTAATGGGAAATTCTAGAGACCAAAATAAGACGAAAATCAAGAATACCAATTTGTTGATGGAGACTTCGTTAAAAAGTTATTAACATTTAAAGTTCCACCCTTACTGAATTTTTTTCCCGAAAATGCGCAAGATTTCGGGGGTATGTCTATTACCCAAAAATGATTGTAATAGACCCCCGCAATCGAAAATAATTTTTCCAAAACGATTTGAAATTTTTCTTTTCCGTCGAAAAATTTCCCACATTCTCGAATTTTTTTCTCGAAAGTGAGTAGGATTTCGAGGGTATGTGTAATGATAAAAAATGATTGTAACAGACCCCCGCAAACGAAAATAATTTTTTTGAAACGATTTGAAATTTTTCTTTTTCGTCCAAAAATTTAGGCGCCTAATTTCGGAAAAGAATTTTTTTCTCGAAAGTGCGTAGGATTTCGAGGGTATGTGTAATGACCAAAAATGATTGTAATAGACCCCCGCAATCGAAAATAATTTTGTCAAAACGATTTGAAATTTTTCTTTTTCGTCCAAAAATTTAGGCGCCTAATTTCGGAAAAGAATTTTTTTCTCGAAAGTGCGTAGGAATTAGAGGGTATGTGTAATGACCAAAAATGATTGTAATCGACCCCCGCAACCGAAAATAATTTTTCCAAAACGATTTGAAATTTTTTTTTTCCGTCGAAAAGTTTCACACTTTCTCGAATTTTTTTTCGAAAATGGATAGGATTTCGGAGGTATGTGTGTTCACCAAAAATGATTGTAATTGACCCCCGCAACCGAAAATAATTTTTCCAGAATGATTTGAAGTTATCGAATTTAATTGTTAATAACTTTTTAACGAAGCCTCTATTAACAAATTGGTATTCTTGATTTTAGTCTTATTTTGGCCTCTAGAATCCCCCATTAAAATTTTTCTGTAAGTAAATGTGTACTGTTAGTGAAATAAATAATAATAGTAATTTTATTAGTAGAATAAATATAGATAAATGAAAAACCTCTAAGTTTCGTGGCGATGGATGACAAAGTGTGAGGCCTTGTAAGGGATCCATGGGGTTCCATGAAGTGTTCCAATGGCGGACGGTTCCCCGTGGCTGGTCCAACGACCGCGTTGATCGTCGCAACGAGGATTCGTTCGAAACGTGCGTGGGCGTACGTACAGATTCTTCAAACCGCAGCCTCTTTCCGTCCCCTGGAAAAATAAGAATCGAAGGAAGTCGCGGGAAGAAACGAGCACCGTGTTCCCGGGAGCGTGAGACAATTCATGGTCGTCGCTCGACGACAGCACCAAGTGCCACCGAGAGTCCCACTGAAAGATTTTCCCTCCCGAAACCCGCCACTCCCCCACTCTACCTTCCCCTCCCCACCGCGGATTCTTCGAACCAATTTTGTTTTCCAACTTCCAGAAACAAAAAATTCACTGCACGAACCGGAGCTTTGAGGTTATGTTAACTCGTCAACAAAGTATCCCTCGTCCATAGAAACTGGAAACATTCATTAACTTTTAACGAATAAACAGAACATCCATGCAAACCCACTAACAATAATTAAAACACCCAGAAAACTTCTTGCAATCATAACCTCTCATATCTACATCAAACTCGTAAAAATCGAAAGTCAAATGCTACTGATTTCACCGTCACATAAATATTTGCAAATAGACACGAATAAAAATTGAAAAAAAATTCAAGGTTTGTTCAGAAAAAAAAATTTTAACTCGATAAATAAAAATGTATAATACGTGTCACGGTTGTTCGAGCCCGAATGCAATGGCGTCGACGCGGACGGTCCCGATCGAAACGGATACGGGCCCCTTTGATCGAAATTGTTTTAAAATGGCGATCAGAGAAATGTCGCGACATATTCGTCTCTGTCAATTTGGAATAAAAGTATCGTCGGAGGAGATGCATTCGCGCGAAGCTGTTCGGTGTCACGTGTCCCGGGGAGCTGCAGCGTTACTATTTATACCGGGCGGGCTAATTCGTTCCTGGTCGTCGTCGAAACGGATTTTAAGGTGTTCCCGATCAGCGACGACGGACGAACCGCCGACGTTGACGAAGAGTGGCTTTATATCAGCTGTTCTTTACCCTCGACGTGTACTAATTAGGTGGATACACCGACGTTGGTGATAATCTTCTTTCCAGGTCGCGTGGGGACGCGTGGATGAGGCATAAGAATGACCCTGAAGGGTATATTTGTTTTCTTTATGAAAATATTTTTAACCATTTCGACAGCTTATGGTTCGGTAGTAATTAGCGACGTGGAAGTAAAAAATTACAAAAATGTCTAGATACCGTAAAAACAGATGGGATATTGTACACGGTTAATTAAATTGCTAAAGATATCGAGTATAATTACTGGTTCGGTGTTTCGTTGATTGAGAATTTTGACATTTATAAAATTACTTTCGCATGTTGCAAGGACAGTTCATAACCTCCCCGAGGACACCGCGGTACGATTCAGATTTAAAACTATTTTAATTGCTATAATATTGGAATAACCAATAAAAATACTCACAATTAAATATTCCAATTATATCGCTGAAACATTCAATTATGAATATTTCTTCACAATGGTAATTGTTGGTACCACATTGCAATAATTAAAACAGCTGTAAAAACTCGAAGGGGATAAAAAGTATCACAATTAATGAAACTCCAAATACCGTAGTAATCGTTGGTTCCATATTACAATAATTAAAACAGCTGTAATTAAGTACCGTAAACATTTTACAGTGATATAATAGAATATTGTGAAAGGGCAAACGGACACCTTGGGTCAGTATTAGCTTAAAACATTCCACAAAATAATTTTCATGTCCTGCAAAAATGATTGTAACATGGAAAAAGTCTGTTCCAAACATTTCTGTTCCCCAAATATTTGTTCTGATACTTTTGTGTCAAAATATCTGTGGACCCAGTGGTTCTAAAGTTTCACAAGTTAGAAAATTCCACAAGATTTCGGTCAGGACCAGAAGAGGAAGAAGGTGGAGATTTTTGGCACCTTTTTTGTTTCGCTGGACTCTTAAAACCAGCTGGAAGTCGTAAGATGGCGGTCAAACAGTATCGAGTGACGCCTAGGTCAGAAGGTTCGCCCTTTTGGCGATTTTTTTAGGTCAACTTTCACCTAATTTATGTTCTCTGGGACTTCCGGTCGAAATCCTTGCCCTTCGCTCTACGAGCACGTCCGTAAAGGTTTCACAATTTTTCTATTTTTCGTTCCACGTTCTTCACTGGCCAATTCAACGATTATAATTTTTTCTAAATACCAAAAGTTTTTCAGGTCGAGGAAATCGGTGAAAACAGCGTGAAATGAGTCGACGGAAGTGAGGATTAGAAAAAAACGTGACTCGATTCGTGATTTTTAACGACACGTTTGCTTTGACGCGACGAACGCCGAAGGAAACTGTTTCCCTTTCGATTCGTCGTGGTCGTAATCGATTCATCGTGGCTCGTCGCAAATTCCACGGACGATTACGGGACGATCGAGAAAACGGGGATCGGTAAAAATGAAAAGAACGAGAAAAAGTGACGTTGAAATTCGTAAATGGTTGATTAGAGGGTTGATATGCTCATTGGTCCTGTGAAACGACGGGATAAATCAAAAGATGGAAAAAGGGTTCGAGAGACTGGACGCCACTCGATTCCTCCGGTGGCTAATGGCGCCCCCTCGATGAAATACGACCGAAATAAGCCAGCGATCGCGCTGCCTTTTAGAACCCCACGGGCCCCGCACTTTGAATTAATGCCTCTATCGCGGGGGCATTAGAAAACTCCCTTTTTTCTCCCCCCACGGCGGCCATAAAGCAAATTCTTCGGCCGGTTACCTCGTAACACGGAGCAATTTCTTTCTACGCGCCTATACGAGACGTCCATAAAGATTCGTTCCGAGTGTTTCCGTTCGAAATAGACGTACGAAGTGTTCTACTTAAAAAGAAACAACTCGAGAGCTGTTGGCAACCGGTGCCCCGATCGTATCGTCTTACGAAACAAAGACAAATTGAAAAGGGTCAAACAAAAATTTATAACGATACTCCACGTGCTTTGCGTTAAATTAATAGTAACAATTATGCAAATAACAGCGTTCTTAATGGGAACCATTTTAGACGAACGCGAAGGTGGATGAAGATTTCTCGCGCCGGACATTAAATATTTTGCAAGACGATCGCCGTAGCAAAGGCGGTAATTTGGACTCCGTGGGTAATCGATACGCGAATGATCGTCGTCGAAAAGGACCGAGTTTACGGTGTAAACAGCTTAGCGACGATCAAATGAATCAAAAGATCGTCCGAGCAAAAAGTCGCGAGAATTTCACCGGGAGCCTAATAATAGGCGTACGTCGAGTCCACAAGTCATCGCGATTAAACCAGTCATCGTTTCTTTCTATAAATAACCGAGGCGGAGAGACACCGGGCACGGTGTGGCAAAAGGGAAGGCGGCTTCGCTTGTGGATCTCCGAGGGACTGGCGTTCGTGGCGCGGCGCGTCTTCCCGTGGCACTGAACGTCTCTCGAGGGGGAAGAGAACCGAAACGGTGGTCGTTGCAACACATGTCCGGAGCGTGTTTCGCCGACGCTGGAAACGCTTCCAGCCGAGCGAGAAAAATAGGGGTTGTTGCGTGCCGTAGGATTCCAGAATTACCTGCTCGCGGCGCGGCGTCGCGAGTTGCACTGTTCCGTTCGCTGGAACGCCGGAACATTCTATGGACGATCGATTGTGGGAAATTAATTCCACGGTACGCCGCTATTTTTTGTACGGAGACAAATTATCTACCGAACACCAAAAATAGAATCACAGTTATTTATTTTGCCGAGAGAAAATAATGGATTCTGCGAATTAATCTCAACGTCTCCGAGCCGTTGGGTTATCTGTGTCACCGACACCATTGTAATTATACCAGATTCTGGAATGGGTCGAACCTTGGAGAAGGTGTCCAATTTCAACGAACACGAGACAAGGGGCACGAGCTCGGACACGATCGATAATCGAGCAAGCGAGACGAGTCCAGCAAACGTAAACAAATGTGACCCTGAATGCGACTTAAGTGTCCTGCGGCAGCCAACTGCAGCCAGAAAATCGCGCGAACGCTTCGTTTTTTTTTTTTCCACTGTCTCGTCTCGTCGACCCAAATATAGACACCGAGCAAAAAATATCGAAATACATAATACTTATTGTCGTTAACCAGTGACCATTTATTTTATTCCTTTCCTCCCGCCAATGTATAGAAATATTATTCGAGCAACGCTGTTTAAATATTGTTGTTTGGTTAAAATTGTTCGATTTGTTGCACGTCGTTGGGAGTCGAGCGCGGTTTCGCGGCAAAACAATATGGCCGGTCATTCCCGTTATTACGCGGAGTCAGTAACCGTGCCGCCAGCGAAACACGAAGCAGTTTTCAAATGATAGGCACCGATAGACACCGACGGTGATTGAATAACGACGGTGTACTCTTGCTCGGGCAAAAGAACACCATACAATTTCCTAACTTTCCCCGATAATTCTTGGTGGAATCTCAATAACCGATTGCTCCTCTGCCGTTTCTTTTTATGGTCGGGACACTGGTGTTCGCGATTCCAACTATCCCTAGCATCGGTACTTTGACTTAGAATCCATCTCAGATATACACCTTTCTGATACAATTCAAGTTTAATTGCTTAAAAAGTCCAATTTTAAATACCTCATCAAACAATAAGATACTCTTCAAACATCCCTAGTAATCCTAGTAATCCAGTTCAAACACAAAAATTCTAGCTATTCGAGTATTAGAAATCAAGAAACAGGTGCCTTCCTGATACGATTCAAGTCCATCTTACATACCTCATCAAACAATAAAATACTCTTCAAACATCCCTAGTACTAGTAATCTACTTCATAATTTATCATCGAACACAAAAATTCTAGCTATTCGAGTATTAGAAATCAAGAAACAGGTGCCTTCCTGATACGATTCAAGTCCATCTTACATACCTCGTCAAACAATAAGCTCCTCACCAAAGGTCCCTGGTATCGGTATCCCATCTCAAGATGCATCGGTAAACGCAAGAATTTCACCCATTCGTACGTTGCAAATCGACAGGGAACGCGCAGTCTGTTATTTGATCCTATCTCAGCTTCCTCGATCTTCCAATTCCAGGGATTCCACGGGAACCCCCCTGCTCAAACATTCCCTCGAACAATATTTCCATATCCCATTACCGTCGGGTCCCGGGACGACCGTGAACGCTCGCGACGAGCGAATCCCGGGCGTCTCGTTCCGCGGCGCGTACGCGGCGAACGACTTTCTTATTACAACATTTCCATTTCCCATTAGCGGCGTAATAAATTCCGCGGAGCGTATCCGTGGCGGAGCCGGCCAGGCCGGCGGGCCGCCGTGGCGCGAAAAGCCCGCGACGGACCACGCACGTGCGCGCACGGGCACGTACCAACCGACCAGCGACGGAGCGAGAGAGAGGGAGAGCGACGGGGGTCCGGTGCGCGTCGAGCGACAGAGTAGGAGAGGTTTCGCCGTCCGCGAGGGTGGCGAGAGTGGGGTACGAGTTTCGCTCACGGTGGTGGGGAGAGGAACTACGTGAGCGGCCAACGGGGGTTGGCGGAGGGAGCCCGTGGACGAGCGGTTATTTCAAGCGACGACTCTTCTGGCACTTCGCCCCGAGCTTTCCTCGAGCGCATCCTCTCGCCTCGAAGCGCGTAGTTGTGTCAGTGTAGCCGCGACGGTAGCCACAGTCAGTCGGTCGGACAGCAAAACGCACGCAATCGGTGCCAGGGTTGCAACGGGAGCATCTATCGAGGTTCGAGGTTCGAGGTCCTGGATATACACCCCGCGGAACAGTGATCGATCGCGGCTGGAGGGAACCTTTTTGGTCAGTGATCGACAGTGTTTGAGTGAAAGGGGAACCCGTCAGGGGGTTGGACAGGTGCTTCTGGTGGTGTTGACACGTGAGCCGAGCCCGCGGTAACAGGTATCCCCGAAGCGTAGTCGGCGCGCCCTAGGATGGGACCGGAGAGGATTTTATAGCGACGCCTGAAATAACAAGGAGGAATACGCGCGCCGGTGAATCAGCTTCCTACCGCGCTAGTGAATTTTCCCTGACAGCGGCCACGCGGTGGGATATTTCTTTTATTTCCCGCGGCGTATCGCCTTCGTGCCTGTTCCCTCTTCGCGCCCGTCCGCCGCAAGGGGGATTGAGAAAAGCCAGAGCCGCCAGAAACCCGCGCGCGGACCGAACGGGGCTTCCCGACACGCCGCGAGGAGCTTTTCTCGGAAAGGAGATCGCGACTGGTGAGTACCGGCAACCGTTGTTAAGCTAAAAACCGCGGGCTGTTTGTTGACCGCATCGCGCGACGCCCGGACCCTTTTCGTTTCACTTTCGACGCGATCAAAGTAGCCAAACACGCCGTCTTCCGTCAACGTATTCGCTACATTTATTTTACTTTGGCGGTCGAACGATGCATAATAGAAGTTCGTTGACTGGAAAGTTCTTCAACTTTTACGCGTGAACAATATTTTCATCTTAAACAAGCGGAAGCTTAATTTAACATTTTATTTTTTTTTTTTGCAACCTCGTCGACATCGAGACGAGTTTCCGATTCATTATTTAAAGCTACGGATGGGAGTAGGATTCTTTTGGTTATTGCTAACTCGTAGGAGATTCTAATCTGCCGAGGGTGGGTTGTTCTACCAATATAATTGTGTCTACGAAGGCGTTGATTCACCGAGGAATCCCTATTGTTGATGATTTGTAGGCTGTAGACGTTCCCTACTAGGAATGTTAGATTTAACGACGGACAAGATTAGTTCTAAATCAGAGAATGATGTACCTATAATTTTGATGTAATCGACGTTCGAATATTTGAATTCTCGATCATTAGGAAATTGTAATTATACTATATTAGAACCAAAAAAAATATATTAAAAAACTGCAGGAGCCCGGAATTTTCAGAGATTAAGATTCCCGATTTCTGCAATAAAAATAACGAATTTTTATACTAGTCGAGCACCTCGATCCCCTTATCGCCAAAGATTTGATGTTTCGATAGTCGAGGCACCGATCGATTAATCATTGTGTACGAGTTCTGAGGGTCGAAATCCAAAAGCAACGATGACTTTTCAATAATCGTAGAATTAAAGTCTCGTTAGAGATTTACGTGAGAATCGATAATTTTCGAAGCACCCCGGCAAGATTTCCCTAAGCGTCGAAGGAGACATCGACGCCGCGAAGAGCGCGTTTCCGGTCCCTGGCCGACCGCTTCCTGTCATCGGATGCGATAACTCGACGAGCCGGGCAAATTTTATTCACGGAATAACACAAATTTCGGATTCGTTCCGTAAACGTGACCTCCCATCGCGTTTTATTTGTAAATCAGAATTATATAAAAGTCATCTATGCATTATAGTAACTCTGTGTCGGCCATTTTTCAAAATTCTTGCTCAAAAATTAAACTTTCCATTTTATTTTTTTCTCATAAAGAATTGAAAGTTTTATCGTACTTGACTCTTAACCTAACCCTTAAACTATACGAAAATATATTTTTAGTCCATTTATCATTATCCTTTATTAAATAGTAGTCCATTATGTAACCATAGTTGGTGTACAGTTATGGTGTTAACTACTATTCAATAAAAAATGAACAAAAAAAATATTTTCGTACAGGTTAAGGATCTTTCCTCGTGTTCCTAAAACTCTAGTACGATAGAACATTTAATTCTTCACGAAAATAATTAAAAAGAAAAATTTTGGGAAATCTTTACGTTCGATGAGATCTTGGTGGATAGTGTAATTGTTAATGCAATATATGCATTGTTTTCGATCGTAATATTTACCTGAAGTTTACACCGGCGAGTTCGATCGGTCTACGAACGAATCTAATGTTCGTATTCGTCGGTTTGGAATGAAATTCGTGACCGACAGTGGAGGCGAAAATTCATGCGTCATTCCCGACAGCGAAACGTACTTAAACTGGCCAACGTTGATTTAATCTTAAACCTCCGTACGGACGTATCGGTTTTGCGAGGCAAATGGTTCGCGGTACCGAGTGCACTTGGCGAGCAAACACTTTGTCATTAATCAATTTCAGATGAATACGCGTCCGCGAGATATCCTGTTTTTCTTTATATCCGTGCGTCGGGTTTTCTGTGGTAACGAGAGGACGACATTTATTATTGCTACAGTCGGTAATCTGATTTGACGCGTACTTAACATGCAAAGTATTCTTTGCAGATACTTGGAAAGGTTCGTTGACGCTCGTTACGACGCGAGCGCCGTCGGTGAAAAAAGGAACGAGGGAACAGAGGCACCGGGGCACTTTTGCAGAAATGTATCTTGATCGATGGCGTTGATATTGCGCTCTCGTCGTCCGAAAAAAAAAACCAACTGAACCGTTTCGAGAGTTCACGGACGAATACCAGCGTGTTTCTCGTTTAATTACAGTCGAACAGGTGAACACTTCCATAATGCGGGTAAACATTTATAAATCACGGAATGATTTATCGCCCGTGGCTATGAATAAAATTAATATTACTTTCGCTCAGAAAATTTTCAATTTCTTCTTTTTTCGACTACGTGCTCGTACCGACTCGTAAGAATATTCTGAATCGTGTTTCTTGGAAAAAATTGATCTCTGTTCTCCGAGTACAGGATATGGCCAGGTTATCTTTGACAGGTTATGTTACGATTCTGTGATTCTAAAATTCGTTCTAACGGAGCTGTTCAATCCACTTTTGCAAGACTCCTTTATCTCCTTCCTCGAACATTCCCAGCTCTGTTTCGCGAAAATAGACACAAGCCTCAAGAATCTTCTGTAAATTCTCTTTCTTACGTCTGCCGTTCGCGTTCCTCGTCTGCAGCGCCAGTCAACGAAACGGCCATCCCATAAACGACCCTATATTATAGCCGAGCTTACGATCTTAAGACCACCGACCGCGCTCTCTACGATCTAGATGCTCCAGTTTCGAGAATCCGAGATGTCTGATTCGAAATTACGATTCCGAACTGTTTTCGATCTCGTCCCCACCCCACCCCCCTTACAGCCCTCGTTCTGGACGGTGAAAAATAATCGAATTCGACGGAGGATTAGAACAAACAAATTTCGGCCCCTCGAGCATTCGCTTTCTCGATCTAGAATCTGGATTAAAGAAGCTTAGCGAGTCGCGTTGCCGAGACGGGAGGGAAGAGATTAAATAAAGCCGGAATAAATTATCCTTCCCCCACTTTTCCATCCCCTTCGATCTTTTTCGCCGCTTGCTTCTCCCCCTCCACTTCTATTCTGGCCAACAGTTACACGAGAATTTAGGGTAATTTCCACGAACTTTTATTCTACGTCTGTTTCTACTCTTTCGATAGCACACTTATCTCACAATTTCATTGCAAACAATTGTTCTAAGGTTTTTTAAGTTTCGAAAACTCGTTTATAATTGTATCTGAAAGGTGTTCATTCTACGATCGTGTATATCCAGTGAATGTTTTCTAGGTTATATTTGACATGTGTTTTTTAGGTTATGTGATCTGTGTATTTCTTTAAGGTTCAATAATTCGTTTTGTAACTAAAAGATATTCATTCTACGATCGTGTATATCTAGTGAATGTTTTCTAGGTTATGTTCGATGTGTGTTTTTTAGGTTATGTGGTCTGTGTATTTCTTTAAGGTTCAATAATTCGTTTTGTAACTGAAAGATATTCATTCTACGATCGTGTATATCTAGTGAATGTTTTCTAGGTTATATTTGACATGTGTTTTTTAGGTTATGTGGTTTGTGTATTTCTTTAAGGTTCTATAATTCGTTTTGTATCTGAAAGATATTCATTCTACGATCGTGTATATCTAGTGAATAGTGAATGTTTTCTAGGTTATATTTGACATATGTTCTTTAGGTTATGTGATCTGTGTATTTTTTTAAGATTCTATAATTCGTTTTCAGTTGTATCTAAAAGATATTAATTTCACGACTGTTTTCTAGGTTATATGGTCTGTGTTCAAACTTACCAATCGCGTAACGTAACCACACTCTAGAGAATCAAGTATAAAATAAAATAATCATACCAATACACGTCTCTTCTTTTCTCCAAACTCTATCACGAAAGATTTGGTAGATCCGACCAGAAAGTTTCCACCCCGATTTAATTTCGAGATGCGTAAAACTGACGTCACGTCGCCATCGGCGTTAGCAGAAACGAACGTCACGGGACGAAGGTTAGGTTGTTCCCGAGCGCAATAACAGTCGTTGTTGAAAATAGCACGAGCAAAAATTCGATCGTGAACGTGGCCCCGTGGGTCCTGGACGTGTCCCCAAGGTGTCCGAAACGATCTCGCAATTGTTTCGCGGGAATGGCGACGGGAACGATGCGTCGCTTCCGGTGTTTACAGGAGCAGAACGCGCAGCGGGGACGGCCCGGGACCCGCGCAAATGATAATATACACGCGAGATGAATTACGCGTACGTTTTCTTCGTAAGTACCTAGGGTGCGCCAGTGATCGCGTGGATCGTAGGTTTCGTTGCTTCCGGTAATACGCGACGGCGACTCGCGCTGCATGAGAGATTAAAGACACGTAGACACCGCGGTGAAAAACCCGCACGAAAACATAAATCACAGCCATAATGAAGTGCTACTTTTTTGCGTCCTTTTGTTTGCTCCAATGAGATTAGCTAGCCTGCAATTTCAACGTCTCTCTCCCCCCTCCCCTTCTCTATTTCGCGCGAGGTAAAAAGCTCTAACGACGACGAGATTTCTCGCTGGCTGTTACGCTGATTGTATTTATCGTTTAGCGTCACCTGCAACACCCGAGTATCAATTTTTAATTCAAGAATAATGCTTCACGCTATTTATACACTTTTTTTTTATTCGAACAATTTCTTTCGTTCGCAAAAATTTTAAGAACATAGCGTGCCCCTATTCCGCGTCGAGAAGTATTAGTATATTAATTTACGAAATCTGCATACGTTCCGCATGGTGTTTTCTTATTAGCATATACCATAAGAGTCTGGTCCGAGACTTTTAATTTAAATATTAAATTACCCCTGCGATTGAGAGGAGCACGTCCGGACTTAATTAGACACCTTAATTCAGAGTCGATGGAAATGTTTCGAACGGTTCGATCCTTCTTGCAATAACGATACTTCTAGAATAAAAGAATAAAAAATGCAATGGAGGATATCTAAGTACCTATCGGATTCTTGTTCGTTGATTCACCGCCAGGCGTCCGTGGGTCCTCCGCGCGGGACCCGCCATTGGTGAAACGGTGTTTCTGATCGAAGCCAGGGACGCACAGTGGAACGCATTGTGCGCCTATTTCCCGCGAGCTTCTCTCTGGATCTTCTTAAATCTCGAGTCCCCCGGTGCCGTCCAAGACAAATCTCTCGCTGTGTCTGGGCTTCGGGGGCGGAGTGTTATTTCACGAACGGGAGCCCCGTAGAAAGAGGAACGGAGACGAAATCGAGTGGTGTCGAGAGGAGACGGTAAGTAAGCTCGTAAGAAACGAGCTACGATTTATTTGACAGATCGCGCCGACCGCGGCCGCTAGAGTGGTTTATTTTATAAGGCCAGATTGCCGGCCTCACTTCGTCGGAATAGAATAATGGACGTTTCTATCCCTCCTTCTACCACCCCGCTATCCCCCTCCTCCTCCTTCCTTCTTTCTGGCCTTCGTCTCGAAAGTCAAGTGCAGTTAAGGACCACTTTTCGTCGGACATGCTGCGCCAGGAGCCTCAGGTCCGCGTCTGCTCCACGTTAAAAGGTGATCTTTCGTGGGAACAATTGCCCTCCGTCCAACGATTCTCCTGTTTCTGAAACACCAAGCATTCGCTATTTACAATCTAGCATTACCTACTGCTTCGACCCGCTTAAAATCGAGGGTTAGGTGTTCTTTGTTCATCCCCTCCAACTCTAACCTCATTCGTTGCCGACCGACCCTCCCTCCCTAGCCACGCCTCCTCCCCCCCCCCCGTTCCTGACAACGAACCAGCTACCCAAGCATCTATCGAGGTTGTACTCTTCCAAGTTTCACTTCTCAGTCCACAATACGATACCTCCGCGATGGTTATCGCGAGTGGAATGCACGTCTGGGAGACAGAGCTTGCAGCGCGACTCGGCTAAAAAGTCCTCGTTCTCTTAATTGATCACGTTCGTTGACACCTCGCCCCGAGTCCTTGTTCGCTTCCTCCATTCGAGGCGATTCTCTTTCTGGCTGTGCGCGCGAGTGGCTGCCTCGTGCCGCGATAAATTACGCCGCTCTCTCCTGACAATTACCGGCGTGGTTAAGCAGCATTAGTGTCGCGTCGATTTGCATTCGTGCTCGTCGGTTTTCCACCGCGGCGGAGCGCATGCGCGCGCCGCGCGAACACCAACCGTCGTGTTGCCATTCCAGCGAGATGATCTAGGAACCCGACTAGCCGCCGTCCCGCGGCCGATTAATTAAACGGAAAAATTCCGATTCCGTGACAGCGCTGCCAACCGACACGGAAACGAACTACTCGTTCGTGAGCGCCACCAGCGAATTCGAAATCACGCTGAAGCGGAGTTTAAATTTAAAATTGTATGTAATTTGAATTTGTATTTCAAATTTAAATGTAATATAAAACAACTTTATTTACAACAACTGTATTTTATCATTTCGATCACATCTGATTTCGATATTATCGAGACATCTTGAGAATTTCTATTATCGCGTCGATTACGGGAATCTTTATGCTAAAAATAATTTTGGTTTACGTATCGAGACGCCGAATGTAAACAAAAAAATTCTTAGATCTCGCTAACGAGTCGACGTTGAATAAAAACGATAGGCTTTCCTTCCTCCGTTTCATTAACGAGGCGAAAAAATAAAACCGCGAAATTCATCTGTTCTAGCGATAAATCAATGAAAAGTAACAGCAAAAACCCGTTCCATTCCGGTAATAAGCTAATGAAAAATAAAAACAAGAGATCGTTCTATCATGGCGATAATCGTCTCGAAGTACTTTTCTTCCCTTTTACCCGATGCATTATGGATTCCTCGTGGCGAATGGCGCGGTCGTATGAACTCATGCAAGAAAATCCGTTTGGTAAAAGTACAGTGCAAAATGGAGGAAATAAAATACTTGAAACGAACGAAACGATTAAAGAAAACTCGACCGTCCCGAACGTCTTAATTAACTCTTACAACGCACAGGCGGGCCCCGTTTCCCATTAACAACTCGCCCCAGCGATCCTTCTTTCGATCCGGTAACACTTCATCGATTATTATATGCGTTATCATTGGTCTCCGGCTCCGGTTACCACGCTCTCAAAGGGTTGGGAATTAGTAATAGTGTTGCGAGAGGAACGAGAACGTCTCTCTCGACGCGCTTTAATCGATCATCGTTTCTTCCTTTTTCTTACTTTTCGAGACGCGCGAATGTATCGCCAAGGTCGTCAGGAGCATAGAGGAAAAAAAAAATTCCCCAGCGAAAAACCATCGATAACGAAGATGTCGATCGAGCCCGGCAATTAATTTCCCAGGAGTTATCGAAGGATTTAATTTATCGATGTCGCGACGATCGTGACACGGTGTTAATATGTATTATTATTTTGTAGCCATCGTGACTTCCATTACTGTGTTAAGCACAGTGTGCTTACATTGGCTGACCGTTCTCGCGGCCGATCTCACGCGTACGTGACTTCAACAGTTGCGTACGCACTTTGATAATTGAAGAAAAATTTGATTGTACGTGCTACAAAATGGTAATTTAACGCTGTCACGGCCGCTGTCATGTATATGCAACTTCATTATTTATGGACGAACCTTGGTAATTGAAGAAAAATTTGATTATACAGGATGTCCGGCCATCCCTGGGAAATTCTTGGGTGATTCTAGTGGCCAAAATAAGACGAAAATCAAGAATATCAATTTGTTGATGGAGTCTTTGTTAAAAAGTTATTGGCGTTTAAAGTTCCGCTCGTACTGAATTTTTTTCTCGAAAATGCGCAGGATTTCGGGAATATGTCTATTCACCGAAAATGGTTGTAATTGACCCCCGCAACGGAAAATAATTTTTCTAAAACGATTTGAAATTTTATTTTCCGTCGAAAAATTTCACACCTCGAATTTTTTTCTCGTAAATGCGCAAGATTTCGGGGGTATGTCTATTTACCAAAAATGATTGTAATTGACCCCTGCAACCGAAAATAATTTTTTCAGAACGATTTGAATCTTTTCAATTTCACCGAAAAATTTCAGCAGCTACCCCCTGTTGATTTTTCTTAAGAATTTGTTTTTCAGTTTTAGTAATTTTATTTGATGCCCTACAGAAAAGTTGTCTAATACTTTTTTGTAGGTATCTGTGAGCCCTACTTCAGAAATAAATTTCAATGAGATACGTTCACTATTGTAGGAGTTATGGCCGTTTGAAAATTGGACCATTTTTATGGGATTTTTCTCTCATTTCACGGGGTTAAGGAACAACTTTTTGAATATTTTTAGAATTTCTACATATTCTTCAACAAAATACGCGTTGCTTGCCGCTTGAAACATTAAAATCCCCCAATCCGTTCAGAAGTTATGACATTTTAAAAATTCCCATGACATTTCGAGGGTGCATTTCTGGCTTCACAGTAGATTTTCGATCAGGAATTTTTTTCTCGAAAATGCGTAGGAATTCGGGGGTATGTCTATTCACCAAAAATGATTGTAATTGATTCCCGCAACCGAAAATAATTTTTTCAGAACGATTTGAAATTTTTTTTTTCCGTCGAAAAATTTCACAACTTTTCGAATTTTTTTCTAGAAAGTGGGTAGGATTTTGAGGGTATGTGTAATGACCAAAAATGATTGTAATTGACCCCTGCAACCACGAATAATTTTTCCAGGACGATTTGAAATTTTGTTTTCCCGTCGAAAAATGTCACACCTTCTCGAATTTTTTTCTAGAAAGTGGGTAGGATATCGGGGGTATGTCTATTCACCAAAAATGATTGTAATTGACTCCTGCAACTAAAAATAATTTTTTTTAGAACAATTTGGAAGTTTTTAATTTTGTCGAAAAATGTTGGGACCTGCTCGAATTTTTTTCTCGAAAATGCGCAGGATTTCGGGGGTATGTCTATTCACCAAAAACGATTGTAATTGACCCCCGCAACCGAAAATATTTTTTCCAGAATGATTTGAAATTGTTGAATTTAATTGTTAATAACATTTTAACGAAGCCTCTATCAACAAATTGGTATTCTTGATTTTCGTCTTATTTTGGCCTCTAGAATCCCTCATTAAAATTTTTCCCAGGTGTGGCCGAACACCTGTATACAATGTGCTGTCACGGCCGCTCTCACGTATATGTGACTTCACTATTCTCGTACGAACTTTGATAATTAAAGAAAAATTTGATTATATGTGCTATCAAATGGTAATTTAACGTTGTCATATCCACTCTCACGTATATGTGACGTCACTATTTTCGAACGAACCTTCCCAACCGAAGAAAAATTTGATTATAGGATAACAATATAACACTCGATTCGCGTTGCCCGTTTAATGGAGTTCCCCATACATAAAAGATTTATCGCGATGGCAGGTACGAGCAATTATTTCTCGTTAAAAAAGCGGAGCCACGACGACGTCTAATTGATTCTGGTCTGGGCGGAAAGATCATTCTCCTGTTAGCATGCGCGGTTTAATCGGGCCCGCGTGTTATTAACATGGTTTCCGGAAGGATAGGGAATCCGGTTCTTTCGCGACGTTCTAATGGCCTGAAAACTGGCGTAATGAACATATTATCGTGGAATCGATTCGTTGCGTGGGCTAATATTTATCTGTAGACGCCTAGTGCTGGCTGCTTCCGCGATGCGTAACGATATCGCTATTGGGGATGAAATACGAAGATGCTAATCGTATCTCGAGATCGGCCGTATCGATTGCAGAGCAAATTGGATCCGACCAGCGGACGGCCGATTTAAAAGTACAAGGCTGCCCGACGAGTCTCGAGTATGAAAAAAACTAGTGTAAACAAGGGATTTATACTGCTGCTGGAACGGTCAAGTTCCCAACGTACGATCGAGGATGCATTAATCTATTTGTACAACGAGCAACAAAAATATATCGTTCCTGTACTACGAGTTATTTTTCAATCAATTTTACACAATTCAAAATTATGAAATATAATTGAATTTTTAATTTAATTCCGTAAAATTAAATTGCACCTGGAGTCTGTGAAAATGTTTACTTTGAAGCTTGCGTGGTTGAATTTTATTTTTTGTTAATTAGCACGGAGCGCCTTGATCTGTCTTTATTCGGAATTAATTCTTGCGCAATAAATTATATGCAACGTTATTTCAGCAGCGCTTGTTCCCGAGAACCGCCATCTTTCTTATTTGTTCTCTCGTTCGTTCGTACATCGCGTAACGATGATTGGTTTTATAATTACGAACAGAAATTAATCGCGAGGCTCGATTTATAAAAATATTTCCGTTTTAAAATCTTGTCGAGCACACGAAAT